CAGATTTTCATATACAATGGTTGCTGATCATTATTGACCACTCACCATCTGAATTATTTTCTTGTTAGGAAGACGGAGGTATTTCAACCACTTGCATAATAAAAGATGGTTGATAAATACATGTTTTAGTGATTATTACTGTACTTACTAACATTTTTGTCTGCCAAATCAATGAAGAACTTTACCTAGGCTGGAGATCCAGTAAACTAACCAAAGTTCACTTAACTAAGTAACTACCGTCCCTTCAAGTCTTAGCATGAAGCATGAACATAAATGGAGAGAAAAATCTCTTGATGTTTCAGAAACAGGTGAAATCATCATTAATAGATAATCCTCCACTTCCAGGAAGGCAGGAAAAAAAAAAAAAAAGCAGGTCTTAAGAGCCTTTTCCCAAATACTGAGAAACTGAGATAGACATTCAAGGATGTGAAATGAGACATTCGCTTGGCCAAAATTCATTTCCCCCAAATTACCAGAAATTCCACCTGTACAAGACATTCACTGTTTTTCTTCAGAGATCTGTAAATAAATCAGAGAAAAGGTGAGCAATGTCAGAACATATTCTGCTCAACTTCAGGGAGACATGATTCCAAAGAGCTGGTAACTGATTTAAAACATAAAGTCCGGCATTCACAATTTGCCAGGAAAAATAATGCCCTACTCTGTCCTGCACAGGTTGGTATATCTTAATTAAATAAACCTTGTCTGTGTACCTCAAATTAGTGAACTTGTTCTGGACAAAATATAACTTTTTCTAAAGTATAATTCTGCTAAAGAAACAAACCCATTGAAAGTCAAAACTCACAAAGTGAGAGACAATGCGAGAGGTTTTGTTTCGTAATTCAGGTGTTTGGTTAGGGACATTTTCCTACTGAAGAAATAAGTAGAATTAAATTGGGATTGGATTTGAAAGAGGCTTGGAATGAAATTTTGTTTCAAAAGCTTGTTTTTCTGTACTTGTTTTCTTCCTAATGAGTAAAGCACCCACTGAAAACGTGGAAGAACATGAAGGACTTTCAGCTTAAGACAACTGTTTCCTAGGTAAATAACAGCCTTTTGTGTGTATGCGTGTGGTTTTCTATTTTCAATATTCATTCTCTTTTTAAGTAGGAAAAAGGTTTATTTTTGTTAGAAACACCTCTTGAGAGAGCAAAATCATCACTACAACTGTATTTAACCTTTACTGCTTGAACTCCAGGGAAAATAATCACAATTCAGAGTTAATTAAAAATACACAATGCTGCAGAAAATTGAAAACTGATTGAAAATAAAGAGAAAAAGTTTTATTTGGTGAGTAAGGCTCCAGGTGCAGCTGTTTCTCAGACAAGTAGAAACTTTTTTAAATTCCCTGCTGTTATAATCATAATCATAGTTATTATTCTGTAATTTCTTGAATTTTCCAGCCTTTTGAATACTACTGTATAACCCTACTGTTAAAATTGCATCTGTTGATAAACTAAATGTTCCATAGACTGGCCTGAAGTGTAAGCTGACATTTTGCAAATCTGATAGTTGGGGTTTTTTTCCTAAGATTAAAATATGTATATGTATATTCTTACATAAAGATATACAGTTTGTGTATGTTCACCTTGAAACATAGCCATTAGGTCTAATGTAAACCCCAAGGCAAGACTTGAATGGCTGATTTGACATCTCTTAAAAGTATTAATAGAATTATCTATTTGCCCATTTGAGAATGCTTCTGATTCTTCTATAACATTGTTACTTTAGCATTCATTGCTTATAATAACAGACAGAAGAGCTACAGCCAACGGGCTTAGTCAGAATTGGGATCTCAATAATGCTGTTCACTAAAGAAACTAGAGACAGTGCCTATCAAAGGAATTTATAACTGCTTATTGTGTGCATTATATCAAAGTGCAGCTTGCTCACAGGACTCTAATGAGGAAGTAAACAACACTGAGGATCAGTTCAGAGGACTGCAACATCCTGCTCTCTACAGAGAAAATAGGGTTGAATTAAATCCTCTGTTAGTAGCACTGCCACAGGTAGGGATGTATTTTATTCTTTAGACATGTAAGCTGTTCTGGAAAACCATTTCCCAGCTTATTGTCACAGAGGTCTTCTATTGATCACAGCAAAACAACACTGTGATTGATCCCTCTTGTCTGTAGTATTTCTAATATGCTCATAAAATAAAAGTCTGGGTACCATTTATGTGGAAGCTAATGGGACAGTATACTTCAGCCTGGGATACTCAATATATGTAGAGTTTTATAGAGCAGAGTCCAGCTGCTTTACACCTACTGGTTTTACTGCAAAGGATCAACACACTACTTAAACAGTGTTACACATAAAAATATTGCTTGATAAATTTACCACAATATATACACATCTCCATTGAATCATCCCAATTTTATGTTTTTCCATTCTGGCCTTACGATTACAGTAGCTCTCATGTTTATCTCCTCAGTGTTCAATGCCATCTTCTGTTATTTGAAGTCTCACCTCCTTTTCTATCAGGCTGTGTTCCAGGTCCTATATTTCTGCTTCCCCTTGAGCTTCACAACACACTGGGAAGGTCTTTATTCCGCTTCAGCACTTCACTTTCCTGTTAACACATATTCTATACATACATGCAATCTTTTCTCTAGATAAAATCAGTCTTTGACTGACAGAGCTGACCACATTACCATGTTACTGGACAAGACGTGAAAGTTTAGCAAGGAAAGGAGGATGGAAAATACACCAGTAAAACTGGTGCTTGCCAAGACAGCAGCATAAAGTTTGTATGCTATGTAGTCAGCAGCTCCAGTCAGCACCAAAGGAATGGTTTTACTCTTGCACACCTTGGGAAAATTCAGTTCTCCAAAACTGATGTGCATACACACTTCTCTGTCCTTCTGCTACCATGGACCATTTTACTAGGGGAGTCATTAACTTCCCAATACATCTGTGACATCAGATGTTGCCAGAAGATGGGACAAACCACCTCCATCAGCAATGTAAGATTCATCTTTTTCTCAGAACCTCCACTGTTTGTGATACCTTGGGCAACAAGGCTAAGGAAGTTAATTTCACATTGAAAAGCCATCTTTGTGTTAAGTGAGGGGAAGGAATACAGGGAAAAAAGGAATAAGAAGTAGCTAATATTTGCCACCATTAATTATGAAGAGGACACAAAAAATTAAGTGAAGTAGTTATCCAAGTAGCATTATCTAGAATTGGTTCTGAAGAAATGAGAATGTATTTTTCTTTATGTTGACATGCTCCTCTTGTTGGACGGGTGTATTCTGCTCATGCATCTAACTGCATTAATACACACTTGAAACATGAAATAGCAACAGCTAATACAAACCATAGGTATAGCACAGCTTTGATTTAAATATGAAGTAGCATAACAAGGCAGCCATAACTTCCCATAAACTATGCAAAGTTATACGTATCTTCAGGCACTAACAATTAGCCAGTGAACAAAAGGCCCTTCAGTTTCTTTCACTCTATTCCTCAGAAATCCACCCTTGCAGCAAACAGAGTGTAGAAAATGAAGCTAAAGAGGGAAAGATAAACTGTGCAGAGAAGAAAAATGAAGTCAACATGGAGCATAATTGTCTGCAATTTTACCATAAGTTAATGGGTTTTAATGAATGAAGCACCCCCTGTAATTTGAGGTCTGTTATTCCATCCATATACCAACTCTTGAAGAAGTTACAGAAATGACAGGAATTACAGTTGTACTCAATTCTCCCCTGAAGCAAACTCTTTTACTTTTAGAAGATAAATCTAGGTGTGAAAAAACACTTTTCTGCAGCGCTTCATTTCTTCGTTTATTTCACTATGGTGGGGTTGTTTTTTTTTTTTGTTCTTTTCCTCCCCAGTAAGATCATGTGTTCCAAAATTAAATAAAACTCAAACACTGTCACAATCTGTTTTGCACAAGCTGGGTATGATGAGGACACCAAATATTCCTGTTACCCAAGAATAAACCCTAGGAACTGGAAAACAGTCTAAGAATTTCCCTGCAGCATCAAGTCAATTTGCAGAGATACCCACCTGCATTTTGCAGCACTGAGGAACCTTCCAGGGAAAGTAACTCATATGGTTTTGGTATGTTTGTTTTTCTGGTAAAATACAAACAACAGCCCATTCACCAAGCACATACTGTGATTCTCATAAGAGAGGGTTGTCCCAGTCCAAAACAGACTGCAGGGATGGACAAACAGAAGAACATCTAATGTGCAAAGAATTCTCTCCCAAGGAGCAATGGGCAATGCCTAGATGTGAACATGCCATTACTAAAATGGCTGGAAGAAATGTCAACTGTAGAACTGACCAACGCTGGGTCAGAAAACAGTCCTTTTATGGCACCCTCACTGTTTGGAAAACAGTACTTGAAATTTAGAATAAAACCAAAATATGTATACTTTATCAGCAACGAATCATGAGCAGACTTCCAAACAGTGTAAGCAATGTTCCTGTGAATGCTCAATTAAAGTGCTGAATCTGAGTTTCGGTTTGACTGCTTTCACACTGCTCATCTCAATATTTAATACATCTGTAGTTAAGAAGTCAGTTAAAAGGAATTATAAAGCACTGGTGAACGTAAAAAAAAAAATTAAATCTATATTTTATATAATATATAATATATATAGATAATATGCATAATATATATAAAGTATATATATTATATAAAAATATATGTATTAAAATATCTGGAAAGTGAATCTTCAGTTACTAGCTTTGGTTCTGAAAGAAGTTATTCATTTGATGTACAGAAACTTACTTATTGACCCTACAGTACCAAACCAGTGTACTTAGAACAAATTTTGAGCACACACTCTTTGCCCATAATCAGCTGTATGCATACACATAATCTGTATATTAAGTATTATTCAGAAGTAACTTTTAAAAATGGAAGTTCAAATGTAAGTACAAATCAACCTGTAAGGAATAAAATATTGATTACTTTAATAATTTACTGGGGGTTTTTTGGTTAGTCATTACCTTCATTTTTCCCAGACTTTAATCAGACGCCATACCTGTGACAAAGGGATTCATAACAAAATGCTGCTGCAGTTGCTTCTTTCAAACTCACCTAATTATTACTTCCAAACTTCTTCCCTTTCTGAAGGCCCGAGGAAGTCTCTCTTCATCTCCCACAGGCTCAGCTGAAGAGTGTGACAGAGCTATACTGCTGGAAAGGAGACAGATGAAAAACTAAGATGGAATTGCAACAGAGCTCCAACACACAACAGATGTGTTCAGAGCAGTCATTTTATAAGTAAATGCAAGTCGCTGTTCTAATACAATCACTTCAATATTAAACAGCACTGTTTAATCTGAGCATTAATGACATTTGTGACCCTCCAGATTCTGCAGTAACTTCTGGATTGTCTTTCATGTTAAAAATTGCTTTTAAATTGTTAAATATAACAAATATTTAGTAAGAATAGAGAAGCAATATGTAAAAGCAAAGCACACGATAAATGTTCCACAGCAGATTGGTTTTTTCCCCTCTAAGAAAATATCAAGATAAAAATAACATCTTTTCCATATTTTACCAGTCAATCTATTATAATGTGATTTACACTAGTGGAGCTGCAACATCAAAGACCCCTTCTCTACTACTTCATTAATGGTCTGCATCCATTAATTAACAGATTTGGACTTGGGCTGAAGAAACATCAGTTTATACAAATTTTAAAGGCCAAATATTGTTTGAAAAAGGGATTCTCCTGCATTAATATATTTATACAATAGAGATTAAGTAAGCTGCAAGATCTTGCAATATGAATAAAGGTAGCTATTAACAGCCTAGGAACTGTGGATCAGGCTACTTTGCAATTCCCTTCTATATAGAAAAAAAATCTTTAAATTTTACATCATTATATACAAAATTTTTTTTGCCTATGCATTAGAATATTCTTCATGCTGTGAAAAATACATTGAGAACAGCTGCAAGACATTGTAAAGAATTACCGTCTTAAAGCTGGCACTGATTTCAAGCAGACCAACCATTCATTATTTCATCTAAACAGCCAGCATAGCTAAGGATCAGGAAAAAAACAACTCAGCACCCCATTTTGGTGAGAAAAACAGTATATGGGTTCATCTACACCAGAAAGTATACAGAGTGATAGCGAAAATGAGCTCAGTAAATGGAATGTGGAACTGTCTGCATTGGTGATCTTAACTTAGATAAGCTTATTTGTCAGGCAAAAAAAATTATGAAGCTTTCACCAAGATGTCACATTGTAGCCTATGCTCTACTGGTGACAACTGGAATACATCAGGTGTATGGACTGGCTTTCCCCCCCTGATTTTCAGTCAGTTGCACAACATAAAATATTGCTGGCTTGTTTCGCCAAATGACAGTTCTCTTCTTGCCATTGAACAGCAATTAAATTTCATTCAGAGAAATAACATCTGGGTGGATGCCCAGTAGAGATTGCTTCTTCCTGGATACTCTTTCATAAAACCATATTAAAAAAGCGATGGGTCTTTTATCAAGACTGTTCCCTGCTGAGGCTGTAAGACAGACCTTTAGTCAACACTGGAGAAGCTAAAAGAAAGACTGAAAGATACTTGCACCACAGTTGCCTTTAGCAACCTAACCCTAACTCCTGTTAACAAATTTTGTAATTATTTTTTAGGCAAATTCTGTAAGTCTGAAGTGATTATTTCTGATTTTTTTCTGTTTCAAACCTCCAAACACCTCCATTTAACCACCACCCCCCAATCAATTTTTCCACTCAGGTCTATTTCCAACACAATTTTCTAGAGGTCAGTTTAGACATATATAGAATATATATCATTTTAACCTGAGCAACAATCTATAAGACATGAAACTGCTAGTGGAGCTAGTAATTTCTCTCTACAATTGACCTTTCAGTCCTTCATCTATTTCATATTTCTGTTTAATCACATAGCCAGGGTTATTCTCCCTCAGCTGCTCTCTATGTACTTTACAGTTTTTATCCATTTTTTACCACAGTTCTTTCCAAATCAAGTCTCATAAAGCTCACTTTTAGAAAAATATTCTTGCATTTTTAATCAGATTTAAAAACTACAAGATCTAACCTTGTTCAGAAGTGGTAGATTCTTTCCTATACATTAGTTAGCTTTCAGTTAATTAGACTAGTTAGAATTTCAAGAACAACAGAGGAATGCAAGGAAATGATTGCTGCCGAGTTGGCCATTATTACTTCATAAAGACAACAAAAGAGTGATAGTTTTAGTATGAGCATTTAAAAAGTAATCTAAAATAAAATTTGATGTATTTTTGCTTGCATGGAGAAAACCATTTTACACCTATTAGAAAATATTATCATAGGTTATATGGGAAGAAACACAATCCAAACACAGCTTAAATCCACCACGAAGTTGGCCAACACTGTCTTTTTATCCTCCATCAGAAGTGTTATGTTTAAAGGGTTGTGCTCAAAAACCAGAAGATTTGAACTTAGAGAATTTATAACAACATAGGTTATAAATTTGCCACGTATGGACTACCACTGATTGAAGTGGTAGCTTACACCAAACATGACACTGTACAATCACAGGTGCAATTATAGAATTTTTCTTAGATATAATTACACACCTCAATTTCATCACTTGCCCTCAGTCAGGAAGTAAAACACCGTTTACGAAAGTAGAGGATCAAATTTAACTCCACTGCCTGTGCAAAGATTAATGTAATTTTTAGAGAAGTAATCAAGAAAGATGAGAGCTGTTTGCCTCCAGGTTTTCCTTAGTCTTCTACCACCATGACCATTTCTCCTGTATAATTTGTACCTTGGTATCATAATGTATTAATGGTTGTACCCATACTTGTGTAGAATATGTTCATTTTGTCAATGTCCACATTTTGAAATAGGCATATTTATTATCAACTTATTTTTATTATACTAAGGCTTTCTTAGAGCCAATAGACTCATATATACATATTGGAGATTAATTGATAACATGCAGGACCCTGGGTGATGTAAAAGAAATTCCCTATGCGCATTTAAAGGCCAAATACAACATTATTTTAAGTTTAATAATACTTTATTTAAAAGAAATAATCTGTAAGTTATCGGAAAGCAGTTCTGTTGGGTACTATAGGTTCTTCTTCCAGGAAAAGCCACATTTTCATTGAAACAAAGCAATAAAAAAAATTAACCCAGAAATCCTAATTGTTGAAAACATCTTGGAAATAATGAGAAGCAGTTATTCTCCACAGAAATACGTATTTTCACATTAAGTGTTTTTTTACCCAAAGCTCAAGTGTCTTTCAAAACAAGACAGGGGACAATTTGGCCAGCACTAGCAAGGATGCTTTTTTATAGGCACAAATGTAGGTTCATAGCAGTGATAGAAAAAAATGGCTGTATGCCCACAAGTAATCCAAAGGAGGAGTACTCAGGAACTGTAAGGTGTATTCACACACGTTTTCAGTTCATAGTCTAGAAAACTATGCAAACTAAAACCCACAGTGCAAACAATTCCCCTTGTAACTTTCTAGCTTTAAACTAGTAATTCTCCATTTACAACCTTCAGTTTACTAAGTAAGGTGTCTTATTTTTAAATTAACTTTCTTGGTTTTCCACTATATATTGTAAGGCACTTTTGGTTAACGTTTTTGAAGGGGAAAATCTGAATTTGAAGAGTTGTTGTTCTGGAAACCTTCAGGTTTCTTGGAGTATGCTTTGCTTCCTTTGCTGCAAGGAAGGACCAGGTTGCTGTGGCAACTAAATTACAGGATGACTACAGAGCTATGTTTGCTGACACTGCTGCAGGATTACTGTCCTCCTTGAAGGAAGAGTGCCATATATTACATTTCTGTTATTTAAAAGACGGTTCATTTTGCCTCTGCAGTTGAGTCATCATCTTGCTTCTATTTACATCTTCTTAGAGATCTGAAAATGTCTCAGGAGCCAGCTGTCATTCTAACACCCTGGCAGTGGGGTCAATTAGATACTTGTTCCAGACAAGTGGGACTGCAAAATTAAAGTAAATGAAGTCCTATCCTAGGGGAAAGGCTTGCTCTATAGTCCCTATCTGATAAAACTGGCTTCACTCTTTTGATTTTAATGTACTTTTGCAGCTCTTAGTTTAAAGGACAAAGCGGGGTCATAGACTGGACACTCAATAGCCGTGCAAATATCATAGTATAAAGGAAATCGTGTAGAAATTTCAGCAGCCTTAAGTCAGGTAACCTGGTAACCTGACAAATCAAACATTAAACAGGGGGACACACCCACAGAAATCCCATTTAGCATTACCTATTGCATTCTTCAGGAAGGACTAGCAATTCAAACTGTTCCTCCAGACAAAACAGACTAAGAGAGTCGAAGTGAAAATGATACATAGATTAGTGCCTGCTCTTCTGAAAACTTCCAGTCATAGGCCACAAACATGAAAAAGTGTGCATCAGTTATTTCAGATGGGAGACCTCCCAAAATGCCTCCAAAATGACCCGGGCTGGGTACTACTAAACCTTCCAGACACTGATCATAAGCCAGAGAGATCTTGGAGAATCTTGAGTATTTACAAAATCCTGAATATCTTTTACGTCAGCATCTTTTCAGTTACAGTGCATAATGAAGGTAAATAGGAAGAGTCTCGTATAAATTTTTGAAGAAAACATGTCTTGACACTGAGCTGCTGACCTGCACGTCCTTGTGAAGCCAACATTCAGGAGCTGTAAGTTAGGCTCTTGGTATCCAGGCAGTTTGATAATTGCCAACCAATACCGAATTTAGTTTCAGACTAACTGGCTGTTCAACCGTATATATGCTCGATAAAGCACACAGAAATGCAAGAACTAAACTTAAGAAGAAAGATGGAAAATACCCTCCAGTTTAGGATGACTGTTTAACTTTTTTGTGCTATGTCAGGAAAGGAAGTTCACTTTTATTTCCAGGTTTTTCTTTAACAGCTTTCAAAGTCCTTTCTTCATCATATTGCCTTCTTTCTATATACACTGCCCAGCAACATATCACATATTAATATGGAGCTTCAGGGCAAAATCCTAACCTCTCTGAAGTTCATAAGTGTTTTATCACTTAGCCTCCTAGAGCCATAATTTAATTGCTGGAAAAGGCAAGACCGGCCTAGAGAATATTCAGGTGACATCACTGTAACTAATGTACTCTCCAAGGTAAACAAAATCCTGAAAATAACTTATTATTAACATTATTAACCTTGCAT